CCACAGTCGTAATGTGAGGCCAGAGCATGTGGCGTCGTGACCCCTGACAGCACTTATTTCCACCTGTAGTGTGTGTGTGTGTGTGTTCAGCACACCTCCGCCACCCCTATACACACCCACGACCCGCCAAACACATGAAAACTGCAATTACTGGCGGCCCGCGGCGGGAGAGGCCATCCCAACCCGCTCTTTTCTAATTACCGCCGCCAGAGGCCAGGTGAAAAGCCAGCCCTGATAACATCTTCCCCTCCTACCTGTAGCCAAGCAGAAAACACACACACACACACACCTCACCTAATTACGCTCTCGCAGACATGTGGGGAATTTGCTTTTAGAGGATGATTTGTCAAGAGCTGGCGCTGCTGCAGGGGTGTGGGGGAAGTTGTGCCACTCATGGCTTATTTGGCCAGGCGTTCGTATTTAAACATTCCTTTGAAACACACACACACACACACACACACACACACACACACACACACACACACACACACACACACACTATATATATCATTTTAGCGTTGATAATGCAATGTGTGAACAGGCCTGTCATGATAAGGTATTTTGGGTGAGGCAGTGGCGCAGTAGGTAGTGCTGCCGCCTCACAGCAAGAAGGTTGCTAGTTTCAGTCTCGGCTGGGTCAGCTGGCGTTTCTGTGTGGAGTTTGCATGTTCTCCCTGCATTTGCATGGATTTCCCCCACAGTCCAAACACATGCGGTTCAGGTGAATTGGGTAGGCTAAATTGTCCGTAGTGTATGACTGTGAATGAGTGTGTGTGGATGTTTCCCAGTGATGGGTTGCAGCTGGAAGGGCATCCGCTGCATAAAAAAGTGCAGTATGCATAAGTTGGCGGTTCATTCTGCTGTGGCGACCCAAGATTAATCAAGCGACTAAGATGAGAGGAAAATGACAACAGCCAATCAGTGCCAGCATATCTGCATATTAGGGTGACACTCACTCATAATGTTTTAAAGATTAAATGTTGGACAGTTGATTAGTCTGAATTAGAGGTAATTCGATCTGCAAAATATATTTAACCTGTTTATTTTAATATCATTACATAAATAAATGTTTGTTTTAAAAACACAGCAAATAAAACTGCATTTTTCAAGGGAACTGTTATATCATAAAGAAATATCAGCATCGCAATACTCAACAACAGAAGCACGTATTTTTCCAGTATCATGCACTTTAAGCATTCTGAATTATGAGGACACAAGACATGTGCTCAAAAACCATCTGGGTCATACTAATGTCATGATTAAACTGTGTGTTCTTGAAAACCACACACACACACACACACACACACACACACACACACACACACACACACACATACACACACACACACACACACACACACACACACACACACACAGGTCTAAACAAATAAATAAATAAACAACATTCAGTCTCCTGCAGCTGGTGTGAAGGGTTTAAAACACACACTGCTGTTCACACACTGAATTATCTGCTTAAAAACACATTTAGAAGAGCGCTGATAAGACACGGGATGGGATTTGGAATAAAAATAGGGGATTTTGATGGAGAGGAAAAAAAAGAAACAAGAAGTAATCCCAATCCATCTGAAAGCCCTCAAATAATAAAAGGGGACGGAAGATTTACTGCGCACATTTACATTCTAATCATTCAAGCTTTAAAGCGGAATATAAACATTACAAGCACAGGAGAGGCTGAGAAATGGCCTTCTCCAGATCACTGCGAGAACCAACGCGAGAAGAATAGATATATTACTGAATAAATAAATACGCAAAATTGTGCATTTATTTATTCACCCCTGAACGGCTCGTAGCAGCATCGTACACAATCAGATCACTAAAATACACCTTTCAGATGCTGTTAGGGTATACATTTGAATAAATCGCCAGTACTGCCACAGTTTGGGCCTATCGTTTTCTGACAGTGTATCATTATGCTAGAGTGATGTTACGGAGATGATGTGGTGATGCTACCGATGTCAAGATAATAATATAATGATGTTACACTGATATTGAGGTAATGATATGGTAATGTTACTATGATGTTACACCAATGTTGAGGTAATAATATGGTAATGTTACACCAATGTTGAGGTAATGATATGATAATGTTACACCAATGTTGAGGTAATGATATGGTAATGTTACACCAATGTTGAGGTAATGATATGGTAATGTTACACTGATGTTACACTGATATTAATGTAATGATATGGTAATGTTACAATGATGTTACACCAATGTTGAGGTAATGATATGATAATGTTACAATGATCTTACACTGATATTAAGGTAATGATATGGTAATATTACAATGATGTTGCACCAATGTTGAGGTAATGATATGGTAATGTTACACCAATGTTGAGGTAATGATATGATAATGTTACACCAATGTTGAGGTAATTATATGATAATGTTACACCAATGTTGAGGTAATGATATGGTAATGTTACACCAATGTTGAGGTAATTATATGATGTTACACCAATGTTGAGGTAATGATATGATAATGTTACACCAATGTTGAGGTAATGATATGATAATGTTACAATGATCTTACACTGATATTAAGGTAATGATATGGTAATATTACAATGATGTTGCACCAATGTTGAGGTAATGATATGGTAATGTTACACCAATGTTGAGGTAATGATATGATAATGTTACAATGATGTTACACTGATATTAAGGTAATGATATGGTAATATTACAATGATGTTGCACCAATGTTGAGGTAATGATATGATAATGTTACACCAATGTTGAGGTAATGATATGATAATGTTACAATGATCTTACACTGATATTAAGGTAATGATATGGTAATATTACAATGATGTTGCACCAATGTTGAGGTAATGATATGGTAATGTTACACCAATGTTGAGGTAATGATATGATAATGTTACAATGATGTTACACTGATATTAAGGTAATGATATGGTAATGTTACACCAATGTTGAGGTAATGATATGATAATGTTACAATGATGTTACACCAATGTTGAGGTAATGATATGGTAATGTTACACCAATGTTGAGGTAATGATACGGTAAGGTTACACTGATGTTACACTGATATTAATGTAATGATATGGTAATGTTACAATGATGTTGCACCAATGTTGAGGTAATGATATGGTAATGTTACACCAATGTTGAGGTAATGATATGGTAATGTTACACCAATGTTGAGGTAATGATATGGTAATGTTACACCAATGTTGAGGTAATGATATGGTAATGTTACACCAATGTTGAGGTAATGATACGGTAAGGTTACACTGATGTTACACTGATATTAATGTAATGATATGGTAATGTTACACTGATGTTACACTGATATTAAGGTAATGATATGGTAATGTTACACCAATGTTGAGGTAATGATACGGTAAGGTTACACTGATGTTACACTGATATTAAGGTAATGATATGGTAATGTTACAATGATGTTGCACCAATGTTGAGGTAATGATATGGTAATGTTACAATGATGTTACACCAATGTTGGGGTAATTATAAAGCAATGAAATGGTGATGTTTCATCAATGTTACGTTAATGAAATGGTAAAGTTACAATGATGTTACATCTGTGTTGAGGTTATGATATGGCAATGTTACACAGACGTTAAGGTATTGATATGGTGACATTACACCAATGTTAAAGTAATGATGTGATGCTACAATGATGTTACACCAGTGTTATGGTAATGTTACAAAGATGTTAAGAAGATGATACAATGATGTTACACCAAAGATGTGGTAATAATGTGACAATGTTACACCGATGTTACGCTGCCAGTTGAGGGATTAAAGGAGATTTCAATCAGAGCAGCACACCCTGTGTGATCCAACACAAACATCACCTGAAGAACAGCCATCCGCACGATGACTAAACGTACCTCCACACCAAAGTTTACGTAAGGTTCACATTCTGGCTGTGCATGTGACTGCAGATGATGTTTTCCAGTGCTTTGGCACTCATAAATCATTGCAGATGTAGACATGACATGAGAATCAGTGGATCAGGGGTCAACTCTTTGAGATTTTCCCTCAGCCCTACATTTGTTAGTTCAAAACTGAACCCGGCAAAAATCTGCATCACTGCACGACCTAAACATAAGACTGCTTGAGATACAGAACTGATCTCCTGTTATGGCCTAGTGTGCTGTGGGACAGAGCCAAGAAATCCAGCAACAACAATTCTGCTTTACTCTAGAGTTCATGAGGAAATCCAACCCACAGGTGATGGTTTAATAATAGAAACTTAATAATATATTAATGTAATTATAATGTTGCTGTTATACTACCATGATGACAGGTGCTGAACCTTTTACTCATGGGACATGGTTTCTGCAGGAGGATAATCAAATCTACAACTCCCATGATTCTACACTCAGTCACAGAGTCATCTAAACATGCCTTTGTTTGTAAATACAGGTTCTAGAGGCCAACATGAAATTAAAAAATTGTCAATTCTATTAAAATTTGCGTATTTAAAAATACTGTTACAGCCAAAAAATAAATAAATATGATTTCTACAGACGTCTAGGAGGACGACGAGGACTACAAATCCCATGATTCCACACTCAGTCATCAAAACACACATTTGTTAGTTGTGAATACTCGCCCTTTAGTGGCCAAAATGACATATAATGCCTTTAAAAGAATGATCAGTTATATTAAAATATGCTAATTTTAAAAACACAGTAAATGAAATCAGCCATAAAATAAGCCAATCAATCAATCAATAAATAAATATGATTTCTGCAGGCTACTTATAGCATAATGAAGACTACAAATCCCATGATTCCACACTCAGTCATCAAAACACATCTTTGTTTGCTGTGAATACTCGCCCTCTAGTGGCCAAAATTACACACTGTGCCTTTAAGTGGTGAACAGATATTTAACTCTCAGCCTGTCTAAATGAAAGAACCCCTCAATAGCGTCTGAACAGCTTAACTCCTGCCTGTTTCGTGTGTGTTACCCACCGAATGCTGCCACTTTGATGAGGATGGCATGGAGTCCGCTGGATATCATCTCTGAGAGCAGGGCGGCCTGGTCTCGACGCCACAGGTAGGCCAGCGGCTGAAGCTGCAGCCTTGCACACCTGCCCAGAGGAAAGAAGAGATCAAAATCACACGTCAAGAGCAGAGAATAAAGACGCTCGGTGACCAAACTCTTATTTTAATGGGTACCTGTTTTGATGAAATGCACCAAAACACATACAGTATATATAGGCAATACTCTCAGAGAATATTCATCTTCAACAGAGGGTGTACGTAGTTATGCAGAGCAGTGCATCTCATGTATCTCTGTCTGGTTCATGTTACGGGGTGGCCGACAGCGTCACGGGTCAAACGGAGAGCGCTAGTCATTAGGGCGATTAGCCCCGTGGCATTATGGGCCATCAGGTACACAGATGGGGTTACAGCATTAAGCACAGAGGAACAAAAGCTGACTGACAGCGGTATGTGCTGAGACACACGTGCACCAAAACAGTGATGTTCTGCTGGACTGCGCAGGGTCGGTTAAACTAAAGAAGCTTAGCTGTGTCAATATGTTTACTTCTACACGCAATCTTAAGTCAAAGCGCTTAACATAAACAAGAATCAAAGAAATAAAGTACAATGTACAAGAAATAAAGAATTTAAATGATTAAAACGTGTTTGATCAAATGTAAAGGAAGACATTTTTAGTTTAGGGATGCTACCGAAACTCTGTGTTTTTTAGTATCAGTGCTACATTATTAAAGATTGATGTATCGATGAGCTCTGATGTTAACGGTTCTGCTATCAGTACTGGAGAATTATTGCTGAATAAACATTACTTACAGCATTTAACTGAGTAACCTGTTCTAATTTGCTAAATTCGTCTGCACATTCGGCAATCTCACATGAGAAATGCTCGGGTTTCCAGCGAGCGCGTCAAGTATAAAAGCAACAAAGTATGTGCGCACTCAGCCCGCACATTTGCGGAGTGAACCAATCGGGTTGTATTTCCTGAGTGGACAGCAACAATGCCCGTTGCAACACGTTGTTTTCGTGTATAAGCAGAAACGCAAGCAATCTGCCTAAGCATCTTTCACAAGTGTGTTAACTGCAGACAGACAAATGACAAGTGTTCAACTGACCAGTTAAAGGTGCATCATCCACATCGTTACGCTAGCAGTCAATCAGAGAAGGTCTCTCTAAATTAGTTTAATATTAATAGTTTAATAAACACATTCGGCTACAATGAAAACAGTATGTTGTTCTGCAGTAGCCTAAATATGCTTTTACATTACTGTATTTACAAATACAGCCTAATAATACACTATTCTTATTAAGAAAGCATGAAAACTGCAGCAGGACTTTATATTCTATACTGGACATTATTTCTGTTCAGTGATGACACTTTAGTCTGAGCAGAGTCAGAGCGCACTGTCCTCATCAAATCAGTCAACATCAAGACATGATCAGACTTATTGATCAGTTATTCTCTGCTGTTCCTAAAACTCAGATAGGCCACAAGACTTCTGTCAGGTAGTGTATGGGGATTTTAAATGTTATTGAGTCAATTAATCAAACTACTTACTGAGTATTCAGATTACTTTTTAGTCTAAGCAATTAGGAAAGTAATCAAAATACAACACTCTCAGAAATAAAGGTATGCAAGCGGTCACTGGGGTGGTACCTTTATAAAAGGTACAGATCTGCACCTAAAAGGTCCATATTAATACCTCAAAGGTGCATATTAGTAACTAAAAAGTGCAACAGTGTTCCTTTTAAAATGTTTAGGTACTAATATAACTCTGAAAGTACCAATATGGACCTTTTAAGTACAAACGTGCACCTTCTGAAAAGGTACCAGCCCAGTGGCAGCTTGCCTACCTTTATTTCTGAGAGTGTACCCAACACTCTTCACTATTAATTGTGTCTTGTTAACTGTCTATCATTAAAATGTTGTCAGTTTTCTAGTATTTATAAAGCACATATTATGCATGGTCTTATAACTATGATACTCCATTATTCTGCTTCCCCCATTGGCAGATTATTTTGCTTGTTTTAAGGAAAAACTCTCTTCATTTTGACTCGTTATTTCTGAAAACAACACTACATTTGTTGCTTGTCTAGAAAATGCTTCTTGATTTAAGAGTTTGTACATATTTGGACTAGAAGCACGATGAAAACTCTCGGTAAGAGAAGTAACCCGGTCTGCTGTGTGAGGAAGGAAAGAGGTCACTTACACATTTTCCACTCGTACTCTCTGATAATCAGACAGAATGGCTCCGACAGACACGCCGTCCACATGCATCTCCTCCTGAAGCACAGATATACTCATACATATATTATAATAATAATAACATAATCACCAGACCATAAACTCAACACTGAGAGTCTGAATCCTGCATCAGTGACCCGCCGATGAAGACAAACCCCTCAACATCAGCAGGACAAAGCCATTATATCACATGTTTCTTCTTCTCTTTCTCAAATATTCCCCAGATGCTGTTTCTCAGATTCAGCCATTGTTCACAGTGTTTCCTCTAATGTTTGTTCTTCTGGTGAAAGTCTTATTTGTTTTATTTGGGCTAGAATGAAAGCAGTTTTTAATAGTGTTAAAGTCATTTTAAGGTCAATATTATTAGTCAATTATTAGCTTTCTCCACATGTGTTTATGTGACAGTCTTATTCCAAAATGCATGAAATTGATTGATTTCCTCAACATTCTACACACAATCCCCCATAATGACAATGTGGAGAAAGAGTTCTTGAAACTGTTGCAGATTTATTAGAAATAAAAAGCTGATAAATCAGATGTTCAGCCCTAGCGCAGTATGCTAACGTCCCCAGTGAAGCGCCATCAGACGCTCATGCCTTCAGCAAACACAGATAAGACCTATCGCTTTCCATCATCACTAAACAAGACTGAGCAAACTGCATTAGGCGGAAAATACAAACAAATTACAAGAGCTTTAGGCCACACTCTTTATCTGGCACTGGGGCTGTTAGTGGAAACACACACACACACACACACACAAACACACGTTCCCATGAGGATAACAAACACGCTTCTCATACACACATCTGACATAAAGCCTGTGCTGGCATTCATTTCCAAACACTCTCTGACCAATGCTCTTTTCTCTTTAATTCAATAACACACACACACACACACACACACACACACACACACACACACACACACACACACACACACACACACACACACACACACACACACACACACACACTCGCTCACTCAAACACATAAACTCTCTCTCTCTCACACACCTAGACAGCGGCGCGTGCAGGTAAAGCTCCTCTATTAGCTGTGCTATCGACCGCAGGCGTGCTGGGAGTGACCCGAGAGGTCATCATTTATGTATTAAGCAGGTTTAAAGCTCTCCATTTCTTTTTATGTTCTCTTTCAGCAGTAATGTGGAAGTAATCAGAGACGGGTTTGATTTTCCCTGCTGCTCCTGACACCTGCAGCGATCGATCCGTCCCTCAGAAACACACACCTGCACTCTGAAGATGAGAGCCAGGGCCCCGATGGAGGCTCCCAGGGGCCGGCCGTCTGCTCCACACACACACACACACACACACACACACACACACACACACACACACACACACACACAAACACACAAACACACACACCGGAGGAACAAAACACCTGAACATCTGAAGTGAAGAACGGCCGGAAATAATCATCCTGCATGAACACAATCCTCAAACAGCAGCGCAGAATAACAGCATCCATCCTGTATCGCATGAGAAAACAGCGCACATTCTTAATAAACATCCCTTCATTTGCAAATAGACTTCGCTTCGGGTGGTTTTGGACATTTCTGTTAAAGAAAGTGAAATCAACACTGATGTATCGAACATTACACCATGTGACTCCATTACGCTTTTCTTGTTTACTGTTGGTTGCTAGGTTACCAATACTACAGTCGGCCACTCTAACGATGATGGAAACACTTCTAATTGGCATTTGAGATTTTTATTTTTGCGAACTTTAAAATTATTTAATAAAAACTTCGCTACTGTTTACATTCGTCAACAGCATTATGATGTATCGCATGAGAAATGAGGGATGGAAAGGCTGAAATTCGAATAAACATCCACTGATTCGCAAAAGGTTGTTTTGGACTTATTTTTAAAAGTGTTAATGTGAATAACGGGAGATGGAAACACATTTGTCGAATAAACACAGACGAAGCAAATATTACACCCACATGACTCCATTATGCTTTCCTCGTTTACTGTTGGTTGCTAGGTTACCAATACTACAGTCGGCCACTCTAACAATGATAAAAACGCACCTAATTTGCATTTCGAAGTTTATTTCTTATGAATTTTCAAATAATTTGTTCATGTTTGATAGAAACTTTGATACTGTTAACATTCGTCAGTAGCATTTGAAGTATCGCATGAGAAACGAGCGATAAAAGGCCAAATTATTAATAAACATCCCTTAATTTGCGATAAACGCTTGCTTAACTGTTTTGGACTTGTGTTTGAATGGGTTAATAATGGGAGGGGGAAATGCATTTGTCGAATAAACGCAAGCATAGCGAACATTGCAGCCATGTGACTCCATTATGCTTTTGTTTACTGTTGGTTGCTAGGTTACCAATACTACAGTCGGCCACTCTAACGATGATGGAAACACATCTTACTCGCAATTAAGAGTTTTATTTTTACGAACTTTGAAATTATTTGATAGAAACTTCGCTACTGTTCACATTCGTCAGTAGTATTGTGAAGTATCGCATAAATAACGAGTGATAAAAGGCCAACTTTTTAATAAACATCCCTTAATTCACAAAAAACACACACTTCAGTGGTTTTGGACTTTGAATAGGTTTAAGTGAAAAATGGGAGGTGGAAATGCTTTTGTTAAATAAACTTTAAATATAAAGCCTTTAAAAAGAGCTACTACTGTTTTAAACAGATTATTTTTTATAACTGTGTGAAATAGATCCTCTATGGCATCACTTTGAAAACCCCTTTTGGTTCTGCTTTTAAAGAGCGCAGTGTGAAGAAACTCAGTGTTAATGTTAAGACAGTGTTTGCACTGAAGATGCAGAGATGTTTCAGGATATTTCACACACAGCCTCTGTTTTAAACACACACACACACACACACACACACACACACACACACACACACACACACACACACACACACACACACACACACACACACACGGACGCAGGCTGCAGATTATCCTCCATTCTTCAGCATTCCTCTAAAGCACTGCTGTTTGCTGATCAGCGAATGCACCAAAACAAAAATCACTTCTAATAATAATAAAAAGGTCAAACGCATGCAGAAACAGCGCAGTGATTTCCATACATATGAGACGCTCATAGACACTGGCATCTTTGACAACTGGACATTTCATCTGAATTAGTTTTTTTCCCTTTAATTTGGAAAGGTTGCGGCTGAAATCATATTTCGCCACCTCAGTGCCACGATATCATAATTATCTGAGACAGAGGAATTAGAGAGAGACGTACATGAAGACTCGCGCTGATCTGCTGGATTCAAAACACTTCAATATTAGAGCTGGAAAAATACAAAATAATAACATCACACTTTACTGTATTCAACAATGCATTCACTGACATGAATTAAAAATAAACATTTATTAATTATAGTATAGTATAATGTATAAATAAAGTATAATATAGTATAGTATAATGCACTATGAGTTAACCTGAACGAACATTAAATGACTTTATTTTTGTTAACTAATGCTAACAAATAAATGCTGAATAGCTGCAATAAATATATTGTTAATTATTTGTTCATGCTAATACATTAACTAATAGAAAATTATTCTACTACTATTAATAATATTATAAGAATAATAATAGTAATATATAGTAATAATAATAATAGTAGTAATATATAATAATAATGATAATATAATAATAATAATATAACCATACTTATAGTAAATATAATAATATAATAATAATATAACAATTATAATAATAGTCATATAATAAAATAATAATAATAATAATAATAATATAATAATAATAATAATCGTAATCTAACAATAATAATAGTGATATAATAATAGTAAAAAACAATAATAGCAATATAATAATAATGTAACCATGTTTATAGTCATATAATAATAATATAGCAATAATAATAATAGTAATATAATAATATTAATAATAATAACATAATAATAATAATGTAACAATAATACTAATAATAATCACCATCATCATTATCATAATAGTAATCCACCCCATATTGGGTCAAATATAGACAAATCTATTAACATTTTCAAATAAATTAAAAATACATAGTCTAATAGTATGTGCCGTCATCATGGCAAAGAGAAAAGACATCAGTTATTAGAGATGAGTTTTTAACACTGTGATGATTAGGAAAGTCTCTCTGTTAAACAGAAATGTGGAAGAAATATTAAAGAATTGAAACTGAACAGGAAGGTTAATAACTGTATCCTGCACACAGCTTTATTCTGGAGCAGAGAGAGAGTTCGGCCGTAGATGGCAGTGTCGCACTACCATACACACACACACGCACGCACACACACACACGCACACACACACAGAGAGAGCCACACCCAGAACAGCAGCCTGCCTTCACGCTGGCGTGTCATTTGCTCAAAAGACAACATCTAATTAAGTCAAAGTGCTGGAAGAATCTCTTAAAGCCTCCGACTCTGCGGTGTGGAGCTTTAACAGCTCATTATCACAGCCGGCCTGTCAGCCAATCAGAGAACAGCCTCCGCTAATCAACTGGCGCGCTAATTCTGTCAAACATCAGGAGTTTCAGCACTCTTCATCACACACACACACACACACACACAGTTTAATAAGAGAGAAAAGTTTCAGCAGATCGACACAAAAGCCCTGCATCTTTCTTTCTGCATTATTAATATGTGCCTTTTTTATTTCTCCAGCGCTGTGAGTACCATGCAGAACTGATATGCAGGACATTATTTCTGTGCATGCATATGAATTATTGTTGGATTTTCAGCATTCTCTTCTGCTCATCAAAGCTGGACTGATGATCAAAATGCCATCACACACACACACACACACACATACATTTCCAGCACAGTTTTTATTAATATTATTAATGCGCTACAAAAATGAAATGGTGAAAATAATTTCTGCTTCTTTCTTTGCATACACTGAAACATTAATTTAATATTAACACTATAATTACACTGAAATATAATTACAATTATTGTATGTTTATTAGTTTTGTTTTTCCATATTTCCCTTATTTACATTTTATTTAATCGTAATTAATTATGTTTGTGTTTTAATAGGTCGCTCACACAAGTTCATCAAACTTGTGAAATATTATTCATTATCCTATTTATTTATTAATTATATAAATTTCATATTTCCATTATTTATATCTAAATACACTTATTTAATCATAATTAATTCTGCTAGGTTTTTATTGTTAGCTTGTTCATGCAGTTATTTCATCAAAATTGTGAAATATTATTTTTTATAAATATTTTATTTATTATATATGTTTAAATATTTCCATTATTTTATTTATTTATTTTATTTATTTAGCCATTATGCATGTATTTAATCATGATTAACTCTGTTAGATTTTTATTAGCATGTTTATGCAGTGATTTTATCAAAATTGTTAAATTTTATGTTTAAATATTAAATACACATTTAACAAGAGGAAAAATCAAGAGAAGCAAAAACGAAGAAATTTAGTTGAGATTTTGTAGGTTGTAATTTATTTTGCAATATTTAGCTTGAATTTAATTGTATTCTTGATTCTTGATTAATTTCTAGGTATGTTTGGTGACTAAAATATTATTATTAATTTTTTTTAATGTACATACAAACGTAAACAAAAAAAGGGCAAAGACAAATGTATCAGTAGACAAGTATAGCAGCAAAAGGCAAAGAGAATTTTTTTAATAAATAATAATAATAATAATAATAAAGAAATAAATAAACATACAAACAAAATACAAAAAATAATAATACACAAAGTTATGCCGTGGTTAAAGTCACACATATTGTGAAAATACATAAGATGTGTTCATAGAGTCAGAGGATCATTAGAGGCATCCATATTTTTTGAAAGGCATCCCCTTTGTTTTTTAAGTAGTATGTATATTGTTCCAGGAGCATTGTTTCATTCAAGAGTTTTATGAACAGTTCAAATGTTGGAAGTTTTTGTTGGTTCCATGCATTTTTTTGCTAGATAGGAGATGATGCCGAGTCTCTTTATAGAAATAGGATCAAGTGTCTTGTTCAGTTCTGTACCAAAGAGGTATAGTGCTGGTGTGTTGTCCAATGGAGCTTGCAAAGCTTTGGCTGTAAAGTCACTAAAATATTATTTTAATAAATATATCTGTTTATTAAATTTGTTTTGTTCAAATGCATCAAAATACACTGAGAAATGGAGGAAAATAATAATTTTCAAATGGGCTGAACTCAATAGGCTGAGCACTGTATATACATTTGATTTAATAAAGTGATTAATTTGTTTTAACTTGTTGCAGTGATTTCCTCAAAATTGTGAAACGTTATCATGTAATTATTTTATATATTTATTATATATATTTTTCAATATTTCCCTTGTTTAAATTTATACACATTATTTAATCATGATTATTATCTTTTGGGTTTGTATTAACTTGTTCTTACAGGGATTTTGTCAAAATTGTAAAATGTTATTCATATAATTATTTTATGTTTATTGCATATATGTTTTTCAATATTTCCCTTATGTATATCTATTAGTATTTTATTTAATCATCATTTAAGCATTTTGTTCATTTGTTTTAACTTGTTGTTGCAGTGATTTCATCAAAAATTGTGAAACATTATTCACGTAATTATTTTGTGTATTTTTAAGGAATATCACAGAAACATCACTGTTTGATGAGTTTATTCGCTGTAAACCAGTTTAGCAGCACTCTAACAAACAAATAAGAGTAGCAGTGGAAATGTTAATTACAGTTTACAATTAATATTTTACATTTTCACTTAATTACAACCGTTTGATAAACAAATTATATCACAGCAGAAATCCCCCACAAAGAATCAAAACAGTCAATAAAACTGAAATAATGAAATATAATTGTATATCTATTTGCATAATATGTAAAGAGATATAGAAAAGAAAATACTGACAAAAAATATAATAAACATACACTTAGTGGCCACTTTATTAGGTACAACTGCCTGTTAACGCACATTTCTAATCAGCCAATCACAGGGCAGCAGATCACTGCATTTAGGCATGTAGACATGATCAAGAGGATCTGCTGCAGGTCAGAGTGAGCATCAGAATGGGAAAGAAAGGTGATTTAAGTGACTCTGAGCGTGGCATGGTTGTTGCAGCCAGACGGGCTGCTCTGAGTATTTTTAGAAACTGCTGGGAAATCTACTGGGATTTTCACGCACAACCATCTCTAGGCTTTACAGAGAATGCTCCGACACAGAGGAAATATGTGGTGGAGATGTGGTGGAACGGGAGATTGGCATCATGGATGTGCAGCCGACAAATCTGCAGCAACTGTGTGATGCTATCATGACAATATGGAGTCTCTGAGGAATATTTCCAGCAGCTTGATGAATCTACAACACCGAGGATTAAGACAGTTCTGAAGGCAAAAGGGGGTTCGACCCGATACTAGTCAGGTGTACCTAATAAAGTGGCCGGCGAACGTATAAAATTCACAAACTTGATGCAATCACTGCAAAACCAAGTTAACAATAAAGCACACACACACACACACACTCTCTCACGCTGGTTTTACCTTGACGTGTTTGAGCAGCTGATAGAGATCCTCCACCTCGTCTCCATCAGTGGGGCTGTACTCTCTGTCGATATGCACACTCGAGCCCTCAATAGTGCGCCTGTAGAGCGGCAAACCCATGGCCTCTGCTATCAGATCCACAGCCTGATGACCCACAGTCTGGTACATGTAGCTGTCCAGCTCATCTGAAGCCGCTGACACACAACACAAGCAGATGTCACCTACACTCAGTCATTCAGCGCACGCTTCTGGCCAATTACAGTTGAGGAGGCATTCAGCGATTCAACAAGCAGAGGCAGTACACAACAACAAGAGCTCAATATACAGAGGGACTGTCAGAGCTCAGAGAATATAGTGCTGGAGTAAAAAGGAGGAGTGTTCATCTGTGTAGGGCATTAAAAATATCATTATATTAAATATCAATTACAAAAATATGATGATTTTATCAATGTCGACCTCCACCCACATGTCACAGTACTGTAAACATATTAATTATGGATATACAGCGTCATAAACAAATGCTGCTATATTGATGTGCATACTGCACTTCCGGCCGGCCGTGTATCCCATCTAGACTGTACCATATTTCTTAGGTAGTGGGCGTGGCTAACATATTTAACCACGCCCAGGGGAGTGGACATTTTAAAAGTGGGAGGGCCAGCTGTATTCTCAATCACCTGTTTCTGAATGGTCTGTCTCTAAAAGTGAGGGGGACAGCCACGCCCCTGACCCCCCAGGTTGCTACGCCTCGACCACGCCCCTCCAGCTGTCATCGCTATGACATCAAACTGAAATTGTGAGTAGGAGGAGTCTGTTAGGCTGTTAATAGGTGTGTTCCGACTTCTTGCAGCTGCTCAGATCGATTGTCTTAAATCGATGCATGCCGGTTAGAAATGTTGTCTGCGCCGACGCCACGTGGCTGTCACTTGTGTTTACAAGTATTTACAATGACGTGTCTTTATTAGTTATAAACCCCATTGTATGATGATGAGAAGGAGGAGGAGGCTGGTGTTATATATATATATATATATATATATATATATATATATATATATATATATATATATACATATATGTGTGTGTGTGTGTGTGTGTGTGTTCGTTCTCCTCACCGTGGTCTGCAGGTCTGAGGTTTGCCAGAGCGACTATAGAGTGTCCGGCAGACACACACTGCAGCATGTTAAAGCAGCTGTCCTTGCCGCCACTGCACACACACACATAATCACACACACGTATAAACACATGCTGTCAGTTCACTTTATTATCTGTTTGTGTGTTGATCGCCGTGTCCCGTTACCTGATGAGCCCGACCACCCTCATGATGTTCACCGTCTGCAAAACCGGTAAGTTTGAGCTCAAAACACACACACAAATACACACACGTGCTGCTCCACACCGCTGTAAACACTGCCGCGCTTCCGGGAGACTGAAGGACCCCTGCAGGAGGCTGTCCGACGATCCGCCTGAGTGAAACTCTCCCGCTAATCTCTGCACTCACGGGCTGGCTTAAACCTCTTTGAAACTTGTGAAAATAGAGATGTTTTATGAAGACATCAATCTAGAGTCTCTATTAAATAAAACACAACACTTTTTGTTTCTTATTTTGACCTTAAATTACCCAAAACAAGAGATCAACTCTGCTTATTTGGAATAATAAGCCTGTTTTGGGTTTGGTCTTGATTCTCCACATGTTAATGAGGGAAAATAAGGTCAAACATTTCCACTGAGTTTGCAAAACACCATTTCTGCAAGCTAAACTCTCAATGTTCAGAAAGCCTGCTTGTTAGTTTTGAATGTGCTCTAAACATTTTAATTCAAAATGTCATAAACACTGTGTAAATACTGTGTTATGCTAATGTTTCTAACATCCGCTGACTGCAGAACTGAACCTGTGAAAGCAGCTGGAAGTAAACCTGATCAAAACTTTGAGAACTCTGGGTTGTCTAATAATGAGGGACAGAGGGACGCATACCCTGCTGAAAAATCCAGCTTAAACCAGCCTAGGCTGGTTGGCTGGTTTTAGCTGGTCGACCAGGCTGGTTTTAGAGGGGTTTTGGCCATTTCCAGGCTGGTTTCCAGCCATTTCCAGCCTGGTCCTAGCTGGTCAGGCTGGAAAATGATCAGCCAAATCCAGCTAAAACCAGCTTGACCAGCCTGGTTTAAGCTGGATATAGCTGGTTTTGGCTGGACTCCCAGCTTGGCTATGCTGGTCAAGCTGGTTTTAGCTGGTCATCTCCCAGCCTGACCAGCTAAGACCAGGCTGGAAATGGCTGGAAACCAGCCTGGAAGTGGCCAAAACACCTCTAAAACCAGCCTGGTCGACCAGCTAAAACCAGCCAACCAGCTTAGGCTGGTTTAAGCTGGATTTTTCAGCTGGCATAGTTATTGTGCTTATAACATGCAACGGTCATACTGAAAGACTGATTGATTGATTGATTAATTGGTTGATTGATCGATTGGTTGGTCAGTTGTTTGGTTGATTGATTGATTGATTAATTGGTTGATTGATTTGATTGGTTGATTAGTTGGTTGATTGATTGATTGGTTGATTGGTTGGCGTGTTGGTTGATTGATTGATTGATTGGTTGGCGTGTTGGTTGATTGATTGATTGATTGGTTGATTGGTTGGCGTGTTGATTGGTGTGTTGGTTGGTTGATTGATTGATTGGCTGCTTGGTTGTTTTGATTGGTTGGTTGGTTGACTTATTTGGTTAATTATATGATTGATTGGTTGATTGATTGATTGATTGGTTCGTTGGTGTGTTAGTTGATTGATTGATTGATTGATTGATTGATTGATTGATAGGTTGGTTGGTTGGTTGGTTGATTTGATTGGTTGCTTGGTTGTTTGGTTAATTGATTTAGTTGGTTGGATGGATGATTGATTGATTGATTGATTGATTGATTGATTTGGTTGATTTGACTTGATTTGGTTGGTTATTTGATTGATGAATGGATTAATGGATGAATGAACTGATTGATTAATGATGGATGGTTGCAGGGATGGATGGATGGATTGATTAATCGATCCAGTTGATTAGAGTAGTTTGATGATGAATTGATTAATTGACAAAATAATCAGTAAAATGTTTGTCCAGTTGCTCAGATAAACAAATGATCATGACATAAGAATGAGGCCTGTTTGTGTTGGTGTAAAGTAGTGTTACGGTCTCGCTGTGTGTGTGTGTGTGTGTGTGGTGTGTTCTTGTATGTTCTGTGTATTAGTGTGTTTGTTTGTGTGCTGTTGAATGTGTGTGTGTGTGTGTGTGTGTGTGTGTGTGTGTGTGTGTGTGTGTGTGTGTGTGTGTGTGTGTGTGTGTGTGTGTGTTGGTTCCCCTGAGCTGGCCGACGGCTACACATTCTGTCTGGTGTGTGAGTATTGAAAGAGACTGTGTGTTGCGGCCCTGAACACACTGCGCACGCCGCTGATTTACTGAGGCTGAAGCCCAGCAGCACAATTAACAGCAGAAGAGCAGAAAACACAGCGTACAGCAGCAGCAGCAGCACCATTAACAGCAGAAAACACACCCGGCGGAGAGCAGATCTGCAGAAAACACACACCGCACACACACACACACACACACACACACACACGGCCTGATGGGGATTTTCTGGAGGAACCAAATGAGAACATTGAGGGGATGTTTTCTTCACTCCAGCCTGTTTTATCCCACAGTGCTTTAACAACACAGATTGCTTGATTGTTTTCAAAGCAGCTTCTCAATGTAAAATGACCAAAACTGAAACAACATTTTCAACATTTTATTTTAAACAACACATTAAAATAAATGTTGACTGAATAGAATCAGAAAAAGTTGGTTTGTATTATTTAATGGACACCTATTATGCAAAACCACTATAATAAAGGGGTTAAACCCAGTGTGTGTGTCAGCAGTGTGTGAATATATCCAGAAGTGTTTAATCAGTGTATATATATTTATGTCATGCAACAATTTAATTTAAGCCTAAATAGTGATGTGCAGTTAGGTCCATAAATATTTGAAGAGTTCAGATGCAAAATCCGCGTAACGCCACTTCTAGTAAAAATGAGATAATGACACCGAGTGAACGCTTTAGGCACGCATTCAGAAATAACAGTTTGTTGGCAGAAGCCGCTAAATCCCGAGAACCAATCAGAAGGCGCGAATCGAATCAAAAGAAATACAATGAAAATGAAAACGTCCCTTACCTCAAAACTCTGTGCATTATAGGAAGAGGAAAACACACTGTACAGTCAGGAGTGTACATGCATTCAAAACGGAGACATCTGAAAACGGAGGCGGGGCTGCTGAGATTCGCTACCTGATTGGGGCTTTTGTGTCATTGCATATCCTTCCCTTATTCGTCAAGTCCCTATCACATGACTATAACACATGGCTTTAACGCTACCAGGAGACAGCAGGGGCCTGTTTCAGTAAGGAGGTTCAAACAACTCAGAGTATAAACTTGAACTCTAAGTTGATTTACCGAGAGATTAAAAACTCAGAGTTTTCGGTTTCAGAACAGCTGATCTGAGTTGGGTCAATCAACTTCGAGTAGACCAACTCAGAGTTAAGCGCGCACACCGTGACTTTAAAAAGGCATTATCAATGGAGCGCAGACATTACGAGTGACTATGACAACATCTTATAAAAGAGATCACCATTTCTTTCTCCAGCTGAACTTGATGTTCTCATTCAAAGTTATAGCAAATATGAGTGTATATATTTGAAAAGAAGCAGCCATCAACCAGTTAGCGTGGGAAAACAGCTGCTCAAGATAATGCCTAATTTAACTTTTTAAGTATTTAAATATTTAAGTATAATAAAATAAGTAATGTAATTTGTAAAGTTTATATATATTTTTCTAAACTTTCTTTTATACATTTATAATTTTAATAGATTTAACAGTGCACTTGTGTGTCTGCCTTTTTATTGATCAAGTGATAGAGGTTAATATAACATTTAGAAGGTAAGCAGTACTAAAAATAATTTTTAGAAAGAATAATAATCCCATTAATCTAGTTACAGTGCATATCGAAGGTGAATTCAATTTAATTATTTATTAAAAAAGCAAAAGCCATTCTAGTACAGTTCTTCTGTGTGTGACTAAATGTAGGCAATAGCTATGTTTCCATCCAAATATATTACATAAATGTATGTGCAAAACTGGAATATTGCATAAAAGATGCGAATAAAATTCCATCCAACGAGTTAAAGAGAAAAAAATTGTCACTTCCTGATTTAACTGGCACCGAATATCAACAGTAAAAACAGAATTTACTGTGGTAGAAGAAGCTGCGTCAATTAATTCTTTATTTAGCCTAATTAATGTACTTGCGCCTCGATGTCAGAAGACAATGCTGAAACACAATGAACACGTGGGGGCGTCTGAAGCCATGAGACGCGGAGACTCTTGACACGCACCAGACGTTCGGGGGTAATTAATAATATACACTAATACTGAAACAGTTCAGGCATTTTAGAATGACTAAAACAACATTTAAGACGTGTTACAGTGTGCTCAGCCTCCATTTACACACATTTTCATTATCATATGATCATGATCTTTTTTTTAATGTACATACTGTAATTTGTTCAGTAAAAGTGTTTCCATCGTAGTTTATGCGCACATTTTCTATCGAATAAAAGTTTATCCTACTCAGTTATGCGCGTTTTTTATGCATATTTTAAAAAGTTATGTGCATCATGACGTTTCTATCAATCGTTTTTATGCACGTATCCAAAATGAGCATTAAAATAGGTGGGTGGAAACGTAAGGCTAAGGCGAGAAATACCGCTTCATCTTTATAAAAGGGGAGGAGACCGACAGAAACTCTGAGTTTAGAGAATAAAACCTGCTTCTGACCAGGTTAGATTCACAGAGTAAGTTACCACAGTAACTGACTCTGAGTTAAAGTTACCTCTCTTTCAGAAACAGGCTTGACTTACCCTGCTTTCTCGAGTTTAACAAACCTGCCATTTTGAAACGGAAAACCCAGAGTTTCTCTCATTTCAGGGTTAAAATACTCTGAGTTTTCACTTAACCTCCTTTCTGAAACAGGCCCCAGACCAGCCTTCACTGTAAACAACAACATGGGCACAGAAATGGGAGTGTTGTTTGCACTATTGTCTGCTTTAGGCAGCATTGTGCAGTTATTCATTACGTTTAGTAACAACTCAACCTCGTCATCTGTCCACAAAAATACCTCTCTTGCTTTCTTTGCCATCGCGTTTAATGTTCAACCGGCGTTTGTTGACTAACATTAACCAAATGCCGAGCGAGACGCATGCTTTCTGTTTATACTAGAACGCGCATGCCCAGAGTGCGCCAATGGTCACGTGATATACGTTTTTGGTGGCGTAGTGTGGACGGAGATATGTTCAGAAACGCTAGGTGAAACAGTAGTGTGGCCGCAGATCGTTTTTGATCTAAAACGCTGTTTTAAAACTAAAACACACTAGTGTGA